TGCCTTTCATGCATGAGGCCCTGGGTTCAATTCCTCAGCACTACATAAGCAAAAAGAAAAAAAGCCAGAAGTGCCGTTGTGGCTCAAGTGGTAGAGCGCTAGCCTTGAGCTGAAGAGCTGAGGGACAGTGCCCAGGCCCAGAGTTCAGGCCCCACGACCGGACCCCCCAAAAAAAAATGATGGCAAGGAGCCATGTCACTACCCACTAAAGCATATGAGAAGATAATATTTAGGCAATTATTTGGGACATTTTTTGATTCAGTGCTGGGGCTTAAACTCAGGGCTCATCTCTTAACATTTTCTAACCAAAGGCTGACATTTTACCACATTACCATTGAGTCACAGGTCCACTTCCAGCATTTTTAGCAGCTAATTGGAGATAAAATCTCCTGCCCAGGATTTTCCTGCCTAGGTTGGCTTGCAATCCTCAGATCTCAGCCTCCTGAGTAGCTAGGATTAAAGGTGTGAACCACTGGCTCCCAATACTGCTTATTTCCATGTTGAGAGGAAAAAGAATTTCATAATAATATAGTAAGTACACTTTTTGACTCCAAAAAGCAGTGAACCCCTTCTTATTCTCACTGAAAATGTAGACCATATGTATACCTCTTGAGCCAACCTCTCCCAGTAAGCAAAGACTAAAACGGGCAAGAAATGGAAAGACAACTTGGTATCAATAAGACAAACAGTTCTTAAGGGTTTACTTGGTTTAGATCAGCACAGCATCTCAAATTTCCTCATAAATTCCCTCAACAGAAATTACAGTGCCTATCCAGATTGCAACAATTTTACTAACATAATAGGAGAATCTTGTTTTTTCAGAAAGAACAAGATACTCTCAGGGCATTGTTATTCCTGAAAAGAATACTCGAGTTTCATAAGTTACCCAAATGAGGCATTCGCATAAGTCATTTTGTGTTTATACTGAGTAGAAGCAATAAGCCACTCAGTGTGATTACTTAATAGTTTATCAGTAAAAGTTTAACCAAACCCAATTTCAACAAACAAAAAATTCTGTAGCCTTTTCAAAAAATAATCTTTACTGTTCTGTTTAGTCTTTTAGCAAGCTATTGAGAAATCATTAGGTTGGGGCTTATGGCAGTTGTTAGGATTATTTCAAGACTATCCTGCATTTTTGAAGTCTCATTCATTCTATTTGAGAAGTAAATAAATGAAGAAATATTTTGCTGAGGGTTTAAGGTTGAAAAAGTATATTGGCTGGTCATAATCCATTTTATTATTAAAAAGCTAACACATTTTACTGTGTAAAATCACTGGGAGAAAAATGGAAACATTGTTCTATCATATTTGTAGAAATAATCATGTGACATGATACCAAGTCATAGAAAATGAGTCACTTCAAAAGCTTAGTCCAGTCAATTTAGATGACAATGGAAAAGAGGAGTCAAAGCTAATCAGAAATAACTACTGAGTTGAACATTTTTACATCTCTTGAAAATGAAGTAAAAGCAAATTCTTCCCAATAAGTTGCTTGAGCACTCATGACCTTACTTGTACATTTGTTTCTAAAATATTTTCCATTTTTTTCTGCTGGTCTCCATGCAACAGATGGAAGTGTACTAAAAAAAACAAAAAAGAAAGAAAAGGTAAAACTTAAGGGTTGGGTTGGGAAGGGTGAGTGACATTGATCAAGATATACTGTATTTATAAACTGCTTCAGAGAATGGCAACTCCTTTGTACACCCACTAAAAGGTAATAAAGCATTCCAGCAAAAGAGATGGCCAAAGTTGAGGAGCATCTTTGCGTGAGTTTAGGTGGAGGCTGAAACATTTGCCTCGAGGCGTGAGATCTATGCGGTCCTGGACTCATTCTCAGGAGAATATGTGTGGCCCTATTTTTTCTGTCGGTTGCAATCTTGAATTCCCTGTATTCAGAGAAAAAGTGAGAGCAGAGAACTCCACTTGAAATTATCTAATGTCTGTGTCTACTTTATCCCTACTATGAGACCCTCAAGGTACTGTGAAAAAGGAGACGATGTCTCACCAGAATTTATTTCCCTACCCTCAGAAGTCCTCAAGATCTCATTGGGAAATGAAAACAAATTCACCTTCAAAGTTTTCCTTTTTTGTTTCTTTTCTTCATATATATATATATATATATATATATATATAATATATATATATTATGTATATTACTATAAGAAAGCTTTTGAATCATGAAATTCACTTGCCAACCCCTATGGATCATTTCTTTGGCCCTCAGAAATAACACATGTTGGGAACAGCACCTAGGAATACTTCCTTCCTATTCCCTAATACCTTTTGGTAAATAATTTCCCTTCTGCACTGAAAAATGACCTTGGCCGCTCCCTGAAAGGAGGCTCCCAGGTTCGGTAGGGAGTCTTAGGATTATATCCTGCAATGAATGATTCAGGATACCTAGGGTCAACAGTAGAGTTTTTGTGGGGTTTTTTTCATCAATAAAAGGCTATTGACGGAAAGCCTTATCTGTTCCATACTTCATCCTAAGCTTACTCCCTATCTGTAACTATGGAGGATATTTGCTTTGCTAACTAACCAGAATTTGAAAGGTCCGAAGAGCCGGGACAGTAGTTCCAGAAAGTTTCTGATGATCTGGGAACTTGAGTTCCTGTGTCTCACACTCCCTCCCATTCCTTGGCAGACATAAGCTTTCTTCAACTCATCATTTTCCTCCAAATGGTCAAAATATAGCTTTTAAAGACTTAAGTGAGTAACCCAAAGCGCCTTGTAACAAGCGTATAGGGCCAGTCGTATTTTACCAAAACTTTCCTAGTGCAAACAGTCTTCTCTGATGTAAGACTTGGCTCTGGTAGCCCAACAGTGGAAGAGAGGAAATAACCATGCGCAAAACATGTCCTTCCTTCAGGAGTAAGGAAAAAAATCCAACACTATTTCCACCTTAAATTCAGCAAGGATTCAGATGTAGGATGGCAAAAAAGAAAGTTTGTTGCTCAACCCTGGTCTAAAGTATGTATTAACATTCTTTGCATTATTTTAGTGCTTAACTCAAAACCTAAAAAACAAAAACAAACACCTAAGCTCCAATGTTGGCTATAGTCATTTAAAATAAATAACGGTGAAGTGTTTGGGTTTTTTTCTTCATACTTTGAAGTGCAAGGAATAAAACTCCAAGCTCTTCTAGTGATAGCTAGATATAGCTAGGTCCAGGCCCAATCATGCTTACTGTTCAGAGAAAATGTTAAGCCGCAATATCTTGAATAACAATAGCTGTAAAGCTATACTGGGTTTTGAAAATGATGTTGAAGTACTTTCTATGATCCTAAAGCCTTTCTGTGTAGAGTTTTGGAACAAGGTAAATATCTGACAGCTCTTTAAGATGTCAACATTTTAATTTATATACTTCCCTTGTCAAATTTTCTGGAGCATCAAGCCAAAATTTTATATATATATATATATATATATATATATATGAAGTGATTTAAAGCAGATTTGTGTGTATGTGTGTGAAATGGGAAATCACACACACACACACACACACACACACACGTCTTAGCAAACCCATTATCTGTGGTAACTGAAGATAGTTCCATTTTCTTCCAAATAATTATGCAGTCCTTAAAAATATGCTTGGTTACCTAATACTGACTATTATTTTAATCTCTTTTTCATACTCTTGAGAGACTTATTTTCCTTCATAAGAATGTTGTTTCATTTGCCTTCTCATTATACTTCAGTTTCCTGAAGGCCAAAGAGTAATAGTCCTCAATTTAGGGAATCTGAAGGCTGACCTGCTAAGCACATTCAGATCCATGGAAAAGATTTTATGTTGCTTCCTGGTTTAATTAGAAAATTATTTAAAATTGTAATGATGGTTGTATATACTAAGACTATTGAATTGTACAATTAAAGTGGGCATTATATAGCAGGAGAAGTATATCTCAATAAAGTTGTTTTGTAAAAAGCCTGAACAATGATTGGTTTAAAGCAATTGGAAGAAGTATCAGGGAAACTCCCCAAGTTCTTCCCTCCCCCATTACCTCACACATGCACAAACACATACACATACCCTTATGGGTACCTTTCCTGTCTCCTGCCTACCAATTCTAACTCCAACCCCTTCCCCTGCCAAAGCAGAATAGATAGGGTATCCCAGAGGCTAGCCTGAATGGAAAGAGTAAGCTCTCTTTGTCAAAAAAGACTCAACATGTGCTCGCTTCGGCAGCACATATACTAAAATTGAAGGAGTCAAGACTGAGAACAACAATCATATTAATTTGAAGGTGGGGGGGCAGGATGATTCTGTGGTGCAGTTTAAGATGAAGAGGCATACACCACTTAGTAAACTAATGAAAGCCTATTGTGAACAACAGGGTTTGTCAATGAGGCAGATCAGATTCTGATTTGATGGGCAGCCAATCAATGAAACAGACACACCTGCACAGTTGGAAATGGAGGATGAAGATACAATTGATGTGTTCCAGCAGCAGACAGGAGGTGTCTACTAAAAAAGGGAACCTGCTACTTTGCTCCAGAACTTTGTTCTTATAGACCAAGAATACATTCTTAATTAGAAAACTGCAATTTGGTTCCACCACATCCTGACAACTACAGTATAGTTTTCTCTATTCTTTCATTTTCCCCTTCCCCATTCCTTTATTGTACATAAAGTAACTGGTGTATGTGCACAAGTATATTGCTTTTCTTTTTTCTTTTTCTTTTAAACTAAATGGCCAATGGTATATTTTGATTGACATCAAATGGAGATGGGATGGGGAAAAATACTGGTCCTGTGAAAATATATCCCCCTTCTCCATTCGTGGCATGCTCATTCAGCTTTTATCTTTATATTTCAGTAAGTTATTTTGCTCTCACTGTTTTAACAAAAAAAAGAAAAAAACAACAAAAATCCTTGCATACCTTGTTTGATTGGAGAATTTTAATGTTTTCATTTATCATTGTAAAACCAAGGACAATTTTATAACTTTTTTGTATGTAGCTTTACATGTAGGGCAATCTGTCTTTAAGTAGGAGTAAATTACTCTTAAAAAAGAATCCTAGATAGTTTTCCCTTCAAGTCAAGTGTCTTGTTGTTTAAATAAACTTCTTGTTTAAAAAAAAAAACTCGGGCTGGGAAGGTGGCTCAGTGGTAGAGCGCTTGCCTTGCATGCATGAGGCCCTGGGTTCAATTCCTCAGCACCACATAAGCAAAAAGAAAAAAGCCGGAAGTGGCGCTGTGGCTCAAGTGGTAGAGCGCTAGCCTTGAGCTGAAGAGCTGAGGGACAGCGCCCAGGCCCAGCGTTTGGGCCCCAGGACCGGACCCCCCCCAAAAAAAGACTCAACATCTAAACAGGAAATTTGGGGCTTGAACTCAGGGCCTGGGCACTGTCCCTGAGCTTCTTTTGCTCAAGGCTAGCACTGTATCACTTGAGCCACAGTGCCACTTCTGGCCTTTTCTGTTTATGTGGTACTGAGGAATCGAACCCAGGGCTTCAAGCATGTGAGGCAAGCACTCTACCACTAAGCCACCCAGCCTAAAGAGGAAATTTTGAGTCTTGTTGCTTCTACGTTTGACAAAATCATTGATTTCCAGAGTCACCAAAAACATTGTCCAAACACTGATAGCTAGAGTCTTGCTTCCTTCAGAAACATAAGTAGGAAATAGTGTCACCTCATACACCCCCTCATCTCAAATCCACTACTTAAGTGACAATATTGCACTTAGCTTCAGGGATGGCTATTTAAAATGTTGGAAATATGCTTTAAATTCTACGTGAGAAGCTAACGTATGCAGAATCATTCTACAAAGACTCCCTAGAAATTCCGGGTTATGAAATAAAGAAAGTCAAGGGATCCCAGTTATTTGTTCTGAATAACACAAGTAGATCTAGTTGACACTTTCAGCATCCTAATTTGAGTGGTGGGAAAGTTCACTGGCCCGTCGCCAGGGGAGCTTCGTCAAAATGGAATGCTTTCCTAAATAGCATTCTACAGTATTAGTTACCACAAACAGCTTTTGCCACACAAGAATGGCACTCTGTAATCAAGTTCAAATGGAAGAAGACAGTATTCCAGCAGTATCTACCCCTGTCACACATTTCAGAAGGGAGGTGACCTAAATAGGAAGTGGTCCAGCTGAAGCTAATTGGGAGTAGCTGGCTGACTGACACAGGGCAGAGCAGCACATTGGCCTGGCTTCCTCTTGGACTGCACACGTTGCCAATCCCAGGAGTTCCCCAGCTGAGAGAAGGAAGGAGGGACCTAAGAAAAGAACAGAAAAACAACCTTAAGAAATGAAAGCTGGAAATTATTCTAGTGTTTATTTCAGGGAGGGACAAAAATTAAAATTAAGTTCTTCCTTACCTGAACAACATAAATATCTTCTATTTTTTATTCCTTAATTTCACACTCAGGCAATTTGGCTTTTCAATCCTATGACACACACTCGGATGCCAACTAACTAGAATAAAAATGATCAGAGTCTTCTATTAACCAGATTATTGCTACATTCTCTATTGAGAAAACAATTTTTAGCCAAATAGCAAAAAAAGGTGAGAGGGGTTGTTTTTCCTCAAAGAAACTCTGTACATTTTTATATTAAACCTCCATCCCTAGTTAGTGCATTATATTTGTAATTTGTAAGGTAGATTAATCTACCTTAAGGGATTATCAAACTTTCAAGCCCAATAATCTCAGCTGTATCTACTCAATTGTCAATATAGTGACCATAGACATTATAGGAATAAATGAGCATGATTATGTGCCAAGAAAACTTTAAGATTTATGTGTCTTAATTGCTGACCCCTGATAATAAACTTGATAGACAGAGTATATTCAGTTCCTATCATGTTTGTAAAACCCACAAATTTAGTAGCTTAAAACAATAGAAACTTTATTATCTGAAAGTTATGGACGTCAGAAATGTGAAATGTGTTTCTCTGGATTAGAATCAAGGTGTTGGGAAAGCTGTTTCTTCTAGAGGTTCCAGGCAAGAATCCTTTTCTTTGCCTTTTCCATCCTCTATGTGCTGCCAGCATTCCTTGGCTCACAGCCTCTTCCTCCATCTTCAAAGTTGGCAATGACTGTCTAAACTCTTCTCAAGTCACATCACTTTAGCCTCCTTTTCTGACTCATTCTCTTCCACATTTAAGGAGTCAAGTGATAACATTAGACCTACAAGATAACTCACGATTCTCTCCCCATCTCAAAGCCAGTTGATTAGCAATCTTAATTCCTTCTCAACTTTAATTTCCCTTCATCATATAATTCAACATATTCACAGGCTCTAGAGGATTCCATAAACTTAAAAATACATTTTTGGAAGCAGTATTATTCTGTCTATTGCAGGGTCTAATACAAAATAATCCTTTCAATAATCATACTCTGGCTAGCTTTCATTTATTCTTGGCAGTTGGCTCATGCCATCAGCAAGGATGAGGGTACATCAGAAGAAGAGTTTTAATGGCACTATAGGTAATTCACTGTGATTCAGAGGACTATGCATGCCTCCATATATATCTTGGTACTCTGAGGAAGCAGCATAGGGTACAACTAAGACTGTGAGTTTTGGAGTCTGGTCATTTGCATCCCTGCCCCCACACGTAAGGAAATCAATTAGTTTCTTTGTGTCATGAGTTCCTCAAATAGAAATAATAGTACCTATCTCTCAAGGTATTGAATTAGACAACAAATAGGAAGCACTTAACCCAATCCCCAGTCAGCCATTAATGTTCTTTGTGCAGAACTATGGGATTCTGCTTAGAGTTGAATCATGTCCCCTTGGACACAGTAGCCACATGGAGAAAGAATGCTACCCCTAATTTCCCCAAAACACAAATTTGATTTCTACCCCCCCATACACACACTGTAGCATTATAATTGGGGCTTAATTATGAAATCAAAAGTAACAGGCTTAAAATAACACACTATATAAGCACCTAGTTAATAAAAACCTTCTGGGAATGATAATACCTCAAAATATTTACTCTCAAATTACTCTGGCAGACCATTCTCTGGGGAGATGCTGAAGGCGTGCCAAGAACAGCACTCGTCATATGTTAAAAATAGATGTCAGCAAACCATTCAATAAATGCAGTATCTTTTATAGTCTTAAGAAATCGTATTAAATTGCTCTCACCTATCTAAGGGTTCATTTTCCTGACATCACATTATCTGACCTTTTCCGCTTGACTCGTACATATACTAGATATTGCAAATAAGGGAAACCATGGGACCTATGTTTCTTTGGGCCTGGCTTACTTCACTTAATATAATTTT